ATCGTCTAGAACACGATCATTTGAATCTAGATCGTCCCCTCCGTCGTCTAACGCAGATCACTTTGGACCGTCCAGCACACGGGGGAGCGGTTAACAGCCTCCGGCGGAGGAAATGACACCAGGTGATTTCAACAATTGTCGTCCAGCATGAAAAAACTGATCTGCGCCCAGACCCAAGCTCCTTAATTTTGGATCGTCCCCACCGTCGTCTGACCGAGATCAACTTGGATCGTCCAGCACATCGCAGCGCCGAGAACCACCCTCCGCCGCTGATCAATCTTGATCGCCCACTCAAGCCAGCTGCGGTGGCAGGTGATCTACGCGATATCGTCCTAGATCGTCCAGGAGGCCAGGCTCGTGCCGTGAACCTTGACCGCCCCGTGCGAGGTTCAGCAGCATCAAAGGGCCAGAACAAGCCTCTTCCAGCAGAGGTGGCACCATATCATGATTCACTCAACCTCGATCGCCCAGCCAAGCAAGCGGTGCTTGAAAAGGTTTTGCCAGACATAAACCTTGACCGTCCAAAACGCCAACCCACCACCCTCGAACATCCTGCCATGAACCTTGACCGTCCCGTTCGACCTCCGGCGGAATCGAAGGGCCAGCCAAGTTTGAACTTAGATCGTCCAACTAGGCCTCCGTAAGCAATTCATTCGTTAGCTGTTAATCTGAAATTTTCATCCCCCCTCAGATTTATCGACTTTCGTCATCCCCCCTCTCGTACGCATGATCTGGCGGAGGGCACCCCGACGGCGCCTGACTCTCTAGCAAACGACTCGCCGGCGGAACATCAAATCATCCACTCCGACGCGGCCACATTGACTTTGGATCGACCACGAAAGGTCAAAGTTGAACCTGCAAGTCCACCACTCTCACATTCCCTCCCTCCTCCCTACTTGGATCTCAACCTGGATCGTCCCAGTGTCCGTCAGCCAACGTCAAAGACAAACCCTGCTGGGGTTATTGACCTCACTCGTTCCCCACCAGCCAAGGCAGGTTCTGGACCTTCCCTCACAACTCTACCCACCTCCATTAATTTGGACCGTCCCCTCCGCAAGGCAAAATCGGCTCAAAGCTATGCAGGCCTGCCCCCTTGCGAGCCATTGTTGACTGCTGAGAGGGTTACACATTCCAGTGTGGAGCAGGAGATGACCCAACATGAGTGGGCAGATGACAGGTTATCCTTCCCCAGGACCAAGGTTGGCGATCCACTACATCATACCTTCGGTAACTAACCCCCGCAAGGATTCTCTTAGAAGCGCAGAACTTGACAAGTGGATTCATAATGTCCACAATCTTTGCTCCCGCCGGCAGGATACAGTTCATGCATTGGACTTCTTGCGGGATTACCAAGTGGATATCTTAATGAATGCTGAGGTGATCTTGGAGGTGTTGAATGAGGTAAAGGATGAGATCCATTCAGCCAGGGAGGACTTTTTACATATGATTGTCGATTCGCGTAGCCCAGACCTGTAATTTGTCCCATTCAATGTTTGTTTATGCCCGCCCGCCAGCCCAAAATTAGACAACCAACAGCAACTTACAGGC